CCTGTACCATAAGGCATTGCATTTTTATTACACATGTTTTCAATAATTTAGCAGTACTAATTCTCATTAATTGCACATTATCTGTTTGGACAGATCTAAATAGGAAAAGCAACTAAATTGTTATGACAATTATCTAGGTAATTAAACTTAAAGCGTACATTTTGTCTAAGCATCTGTTAGCATCTCCAGCAAGTAGGAAATATTAAGAGTTTTGCTAAACACTACAATGTATTTTAGTTTTCCTCCTGGATAGAAAATAATTGTACTTATATTTTGTAAATTTAGTAAATATTCATAGTCTATTAAAATTATAATGCATGCTACCTTTTTCTCTGTGGCATATCCCTATGACTTCACCCTAATGAATGAGTTATATATAATGTCTCTACATAACTCATAATTAAGAAGATAATGAGTCAAATATAACAGTGGTCACATCTGTCTGCCTTTCCTTCCCCTTAAAATAAGTCACTTAAAAAGAGAAGTGCTTAGAGAAAGCAATAGCTGTCTATTAATTCACCAGCTTTCTGTATCAAAGAGAAAGCATCATGAATTGAGGGGGGAGATTTGAAAGGTTCTCCCACCATAACCGGTTTGGCTCAGTGGATGGAGCATCGACCTGTGGACTGAAGGGTCCCAGGTTCGATTCCGGTCAAGGGCATGTACCTTGGTTGCGGGTGCATCCCCAGTAGGAGGTGTGCAGGAGGCAGCTGATCGATGTTTCTCTCTCATTAATGTTTCTAACTCTCTATGTCTTTCCCTTCTTCGCTGTAAGAAATCAGTAAGATATATTTTTTAAAAAATTAAAAGGTTCTCCCACCTTGATATTTCTTTTATGAATATAAAACAAGGAAAGTGTTCAAAGTGCAGAGAGTTGTCTATGCATAGCCAGTGTTTCTGATAAGCAAACATTGAGAAAAAATAAAGTATCTATACTAATAAAAGCGTAATATGCTAATTAGACCAAACAACTTTCTGGATGTCATTCCGGACAAAGCCACAGTGGCAGAGGCCGAAGCAGAGGCAGTTAGGGGTGATCAGACCAGCAGGGGAGCAGTTAGGGGTGATCAGGTTGGCAGAGGAGCAATTAGGGGGCAATCAGGCTGGCAGGGGAAAAGTTAGGGGTAATCAGGCTGGCAGGCAGAGGCGGTTAGGGGCCATCAGGCAGGCAGGGGAGTAGTTAGAGGAATAGGTTGGCAGGCAGAGGGGTTAGGGGCGATCAGGCAGGCAGGCAGGCGAGCAGTTAGGAGCCAGCAGTCCTGGATTGTGAGAGGGATGTCCCAAATTGGAGAGGGTGCAGGCTGGGCTGAGGGACACACACCCCCTCCATGCACAAATTTTGTGCACCAGGCTTCTAGTCCAACAATAAAGGAAAAACTAAGTTGAATATTCCACAAAAGATGGCAGCAGTTGACTTATAGTTAGAAGGGGAAAATTGCTTATAACCAAATCTACAATGTTGCAAATCTTCAGGGACATTATGGTCATATTGTTATCTATATGACAGTGACCCTTGAAGCTACTGCACTGAATAAGCTTCACGATTCTACAAAGATTTAAATAATGACAAGAGTATCCAGTTCTAGCATTTGCCTAGATACACATGGATGAATTACCTTTGGTTCCTTTCACTGTTCACATGTATAGAACTAAATGTATCTTTCTCATTAAAGCTTCTATACTGTTTTATGTAGAGATTCTAGCTAAATGTCTGGTGTCTGCCCAAGATTTACATTATATGCTTCTTCTACACTATGGAGTTATCTTTTTTGTTTCTCTTTCCATTTATGATATACTAGTATAGGAATAAGTCTTTATTCCTGGAATAAACAGAAACAGAGAATGATAACTATAGCCTCTAACTTCACTCTCATACTCACCTTTCTTTTTATTTATGGATATTTTTAATTATTAAATTTGTTGGGATGGCATTGTTTAACAGGGTCGTATAGGTTTAAAGTGTACTTTTTTTAAATAAAATATCAGTATATTGCACTGTGTGCCCACCACCCAAAGTCAGACCATCTTCTGTCACCATATACTAGGCATACTCACATTTCTTATGCTCACAGAAGTATTAATGGGGGAGAATAGGAAAATATGATGGTACAACAACCCTGGCTTCTTTAAACCTAGTTTTTGGGGATTATAAAAATACAGTTGTTCTTGAACAATGTAGGGGTTAGGAGTACAGATCCCCTGAGCAGTCAAAAATCTGTTTAACTTTTTTAAAAAAATGTTGAACAGCCAATTAACACATATTTTGTATGTTATATGTTTTATATACTGTATTCTTACAATAAAGTAAGCTACAAAAATAAAATATTAGAAAACCACAAGGAAGAGAAGCTATTTACATATATATATATGCATTCATGACATACTTAAATTTTAATTTTTTTTTATTTCTAGGCTATGTGGTTCATCTGCAGTTTTTCAAATTGTCACAAATCTTCAAAAATTTTTCCAATGTATTTATTTTTAAAATAGTACCCATATATAAGTGGACCCATGCCATGCAACCCTTTAGCCCTTCAAACATGACCCTATAACCCCCTCCAATATACTTTGTCATGGAATGATGTTGCTAATATTCTTAAGAGTATTCATATATTTTTATATTTTTGTAAGTATTTAAATCAAAGGAAAGGACAGTAAAATTATCCCAAGATTTTTTCCATTATAATTACATCTTACTTATTGACTTTTGAATGACAAATAATCTTATAACAAGTTACAAAATAACTTATATTTCAAATAAATTTGCCAACGCTCCTCTACTGATATGAATGTCAACTAAATGAATATTTTTATTATTTATTATTCAAAAATTCTTACTTACTAAGTTCAACATTCACAGAAAGGCATTTAGGAAATCAAATATATCAACACAGAAATATACAGAGACATAAAGTTGAAGTGCTGCAATCAGCTAAAGAGGAGAGACTTCTAGCAATCCAAAAACCTATCTTTGTTGAAGCACAGCATTAGAACAATTCATATATTCATACTGGCAGTTAATCAACTCATTAAAGATCTCTCAGTAGTTCTGAGTGCTTCACATGGGTGTTTTTCTGGAAATACGAATTCTGCCATGGCAAACATGTGCATCCACACCAGGTGGGAAAAGATGGTGGGAAGACCTCTTTGGTTGTGAGGACATAAAACCAAGAAGAACATATTAAATGGTCTTAGAAAAATACCAATAGAGTCTCTTATCTTTAAAAAATGGTACCCGCACAGTAATGATGGTGTCATAATTTTTGGAATGAATATATTTGTGATATTACTGACAAGCCAAGACAGGTGACTATAAAATTAGTCAGATTCTCCTCATGCTGTTATTGTGCACATGCTAGAGTCTCACGCCTGTCAGCATATTCTTGGCGTTGAATCTCTAGCAAACTGTAGAATCTTAGATACAGAAGATGAAAATTAACGTTTATCTCTTCTCAAATAAAAAGTTAAAAAGTTAGGCAAAAGAAAAGACCATTGAAAATCATGATCATTTACATCTCCTGTAACCATGTCTTATTATACTTTTTAGCCATTGGACCTCATCGAAAGCATTGTATTTAAGAACTCTAAACCACTCTAAATACATATGCAATTATAAGAAACTAGGGGCCCGGTGCACGAAATTCGTGCAAGGGGGTGGGGGGGAGGGAGTGTCCCTCAGCCCAGACTGCCCCCTCTCACATACTGGGAGCCCTCAGGCATTGACCCTCATCACCCTCCAATCGCAGGATCGGCCCCTGGCCCAGGCCTGACGCCTCTGACAGAGGTGTCAGGCCTGGGCAGGGGACCCTCATTTCCCCCCATCACTGGTTCTGCCCACAGCCCAGGCCTGATGCCTCTGGCCTAGGTGTCAGGCCTGGGCAGGGGACCCCCAGACCCCTCCGATTGCTGGCTCTACCCATTGCCCAGGCCTGATGCCTCGGCCAGC